ATCTGTCCCCTGGAGGGTGTTGCACAGCTTACTGCCCCAGATAAACTTTATTGATCCACAAGGGTTTGATCACAGCAGCACGAAATAAATAATTATACAAGAATATACAAAAATAAATAAATACAAATATAAATAAGAAGTAAAACAGCAAGCAGGAAAAAAAAGAATACAATCCAAAGATACAGACATTTCCATAATAAGTACAATTTACAGTTTTACACTTGTTTTGTTGTTGTTTTTGTTTGTTTTTACCAAGTAAAGAAAGACAATAAAAGAAATAGTAATAATAATAAATGATAAAATAAAAATAAATACTACTGTAACATGTGGGTGAAACAGGGTCATGATGGTGTTCTAAGCCCCTGTGGTCATACTGGTGTGTTTCATCAGGTAAACAGTTCTTAACATCAGTGATTTCTGCTCGTTGGAACCTTTTCATTTGGTGTAACTTTGGTAAAGACGTAGTTTTTCGTCTTAACGTTGGTCATGCAGAACCTCGTGGTGCTGATTGAACCCTCTGAACAAGCCGGCAGGTTTAAACACAAAATGTTTTTTATAGAAAATGCAGAGATGACGCCGTTCATCAGAGGCACAAACTGGAAAAACAGAAAGATTATTGACTTTATTTCACCAAATCTCAGCTTGAAACTGTGGTGTTTCGTCAAAATGGCTTTATTCTACGTATATGTGTGTGATTTAAAAATAAAAAAATACAACTTAGAAGACATGGCTGACTCAGTTGTAGGTGAACTGAAGGCACAAAGTAAAGAGGAGGATATCTGTAAAAGAAAAACATGAGCAGGAAACATGTCGTATGTAGAGTCACTGTGTTGTTCCAGTATTATTACTAGTATTATTATTATTATTATTATAACACCTGTAGACACCTGGAGAAATGTTCTATGTTACCTATATGCTTTGTTTTGTTTAAATAAAAGAATTAATCAAATAATTTAAACCAGCTTTCCTTTTTATTTTATTTTATTTTATTTTTTAATTATTTATGGCTTTTATTTATTCATTTACTTTTTTTTTTTTTTTTTTACAGATTTTTTGTTGTATTTTCTCAAACAGAACAACAAACACCGTCCCCATCAGACAAAAGTCTAAATAAATCACGCAAAAACAGAGATTTATGGCTTTCTAACTGAGTTCTCTCTGTTTCCGTCGAGCTGCAGGACTTTATGTCGCAGTGAAAAATGAACCTCCAGCGAGGAGAACGAGCAGAGTTCAGAGGATTAATCAGTCCTGTTGCTTCATGTGGTGACAACGTTTGACTGATCACCTGGTTTTCGTCGACATCATCCTCTCTGTGGCTCAAACGTCCCCATACAGCTGATTTTATGGTTTTTATTTTACAATCAAATCTTCCTTTTCCCTGTTTTTGTTGTGTTTTTTTGCTGTGTCTTTAAAGTGAAGTTGCTGTGAGTGAGCGGTGTTTGATCAGACACACTTCTTTTGCACATTAAAATGAAAACCGGTGTCTTTCTGGATCAAGCAGCAGCAGATGAATACAGCGCGATGTGTCGGCTTCACTCAGGCAGCTCTGAATTAATTTATGGGTTTCAACGGGCGCTTTGTTGTAAATGATCCGTGCTTTAGTCTTAAATTCACATAAAACAGGTACAAAAATACTTTACGACGTCTTCCTCCTTCCTCTCTCGGCTCTACGTGACTTTTTAAAAACTTTTATTTTCGGCGTCCAGGTCTCGTTTCCCCTCGTGCGTCTCCCTCGTTGTTCCCGAGGTGCAACAATTAAGCCAACTCTGCGGATGAAAGAGGAAACAGATTCAGGCCGACGGTAAAAACAAAACAAAATCAAAATGCATTTCACGGCTGACAGGATGACAAACGACTGCTTGCTTGCGGTCGATTGAGAAAAGATGTTGGATGGGAGCAGACGTGGTCCGACGCTGACTGAAATCCGTCCCGTCCTGCGATGCCTCATAAACTTACATAAAGTTTGTTTTCCTATGTTTTCATACACAAACACCATGACTGCAGTGGGAGGATCCGCGGGCTTTTATGGGTGAACTGAGCCGCTAAATTTGTTCCACATGACCGCCTGCTGGTGTCTTTAGCTCATCGATTTGAAGCGAGAAGTTCATTAAAAGTACATCTTCTGATTCCGTTTCCTCCCAACTCGGTGTTGATGTTTGCAAACTCGGTGAACCGTGATAAAAAGAAAGAAAGAAAAAAAAAAATGGAAATCATGTTTGGTGATTTGTTATTCGACACTGTCACCAAATCAGGGTGTAAATCTGCTTTTAATGCGGCCCGTCTGTGCTCTTGGATGCACTTAGAGGTAACAGAGACGCTCATAAAACGGGGGAAAACCCTTTAACTTTATTACAGGGAAGAATCAAAATTACATTTACTGCGTGTTGTTTTTTTATTTGCCGTTAATGACCGAAGCGTACGGGGACGGTCTGGCAGGTCAGATCACCTGGAGCAGCTTGTTCTGTT